AAACTCACGTCTCCCAATCCCCCAAGTCTAATACTCTCATAGTTTGAAACACTACTGTTTACCAAAATATTAAGCTGAAAACTTTGGAATAAGCTTAGGTTTCTTTCTCTCACTTTCTTCCCATCTCCACTGGTTTGTGTCTCTCTCTGTGTGTGTTTCTCTGCACAATATGTTTTAAAAATCTATCTTGTCCTCCTGTGGTTTAGAGTGGCTCCACATTGTGTTATTGCTATACAACTTTAAAAGCATCCCAATTCATCTGTTTGCTTTCGTTTTTATTTTCTGAGCTATATATTAACCCACCTAATAGCACGGCATGAGGGTATATTATCCAGAGGTCAGTCTTCCGGGTGACTGGCTCTTCTAAATAGTGACCTCAAATACCTATGAGAAAATGTATGAGGGAAGAAACGCCCAAAACCAGTTCCAGCATCGATGCTATGGAAAGGCTTCAGTTGTCACTTAGTTTCTTGGCTAATATGAAGTGACGTGAGCTATGTTTATAGATTTTTAGTCTATAGCAGGTTTGGGTGCAATAAGATTCAAAGTGTGAATATTCGTCTTAAGGGACAGTCATTTAAAGTGTAGTTTCTCCAAGTGTGAATCCTAAACCAGTATCATCTGGTCACCTGGGAGCTAGAAACTCAGACCTTCCTGCCTTACACTTGGTCTACTTAACTAGAATGTGTATTTTACCAAGGTTCCCCAGTAGCTCGTGGGACAATAAAGCTGTGGATGCATTAATTTAAGGTGGATTGGTTATTTGAAAATCAAACTACTACAAACTTGTAGCCATTAATCATGCTTGAAGTAAGCGCCATGTAGGCATCATTCATTAACCATGTAAGCCCTTTCAACATAAGGTGGCTGGCTATATTGCTCCTTTTAAAAAGGTTCTGTTAGTACCTGCTCATTAAGGTTTTCTGGGACAATGGTTAAAAACTGGGATGCCAGTTGGAGTTACAGCTAAAAAGAGAACTTGCTGTTAACCAGCCATAAATATTTCTATACTTTTAAACACCAAGAACTATACCCATGAGTGCTTCTCATTCATGAAACTTCTTGCATATTAAAAAAAAATTTGAGGACTAGAGAGATTGCTCAGAGGTAAGTGCTTACTGCGTTAAGCAAGAGGACCTGAATAAAAGCCTAGAGCATCTATTCACTCATATAAACACAGTGCTGGGGGCAGGGACAGAGACAGGGTGACTGCCACCCTAGCTCTGGGTTCAATGACAGACCTGAGTCAGGGACTAAACCAAAGAGTGATAGAGCAGGGCACCTGATATCTTCCTCTAGCTTTTGTGCATTCCTTTATGCACATACAGTGCACACACATACACATACATGCACATCACACACCATGGCACATAACACTGAAAGTTGAGGACTACTGGTTAGTGCTTCTCAAACTTTTTACTGACGTAGCTTTGTTGGTAGAGTGACCACCACAATCATTAATTTCTTTTATTCTCTTGTAGTGTATTAATTAAACTTTAGTTGTTTGTTTATACTATAAAAATTAACTCCAAAGAAAAACAGTGAGCAAAGAAAATAACTAGAAATTTTACAGTCTGGGTTGATAGTTTTTTGTTGTTTGTTTGTTTGTTTGTTTTATTTTCGAGACAGGGTTTCTATGTAGTTTTGGGTACCTATTCTGGAACTAGCTCTGTAGACCAGGCTGGCCTCGAACTCACAGAGATGGCCTGCCTCTGCCTCCCAAGTGCTGGGATTAAAAGTGTGCACCACCACCGCCCGGCTTGGGTTGATAATTCTTTAGCAAAATATTTTTACAAATAAACAAGGATGAATGTGTGAAGGAGATAAGGAATGTTCCTACCATTCCAGATGTCTCTATAAACATTTTTATTATTTCTGACTGGGTGTGGGGTAAATGTATATTTCTAACATGGAACAACTCAAATTCCACTAAACTCATGCTCAGACTCCCTATTTCTTATGTTTGCAACTCATCGTACAAATATTATCTACTGCTACAGTTAAAAGAATTAGCCTGTGTTGTGATATCATGTGAATGCATGATATAGAGTCTGATGTTTAAGCTAAAGTATATCGAATTGTAGTAGCAGGAGGTAATAAAATTCACAAATGGTATAGAATTTTTCTCCTTGAGGAATCCTCCCAAATATACATCTAGAGAATGATTTATATGTGAATGTACATGGTAGTTCTATCCAGCAAACAGAATTGTTGCTGTCTAAAATAGGTAAATCTATAGAGACAGAAAACAGACTGATGAATACGTAAGCTGGAACAGGAATTTATTATTGGCATGAGGGTATGTTCTGGGATAACACAATAAGGATCTGAGTTTAAATCCCAGTACCTGTGTTAGCAAGCTGTTCACCCATTCCCCCAAAACATGAAGCACCAGCTCTGGGTGGTCTAACAGCCTTTTCTGTCCACCCCTCTGCCATGCCTCACCATCCATATGTAACCCCTCACACAGACATGCTGTGAAACAACCTTTTACACTGTAAATATGTATTGCTCTCATTAATAAAAAGCTGATTGGATGATGGCTAGGCAGGATTTTCAGGGCAGAAAGAATGCTGGGAAGAAGGAGGGCAGAGTTAGAAGAGTGCAGCCAGATAGAAAGGAAGGAGGACATGCAAGAGAGGTAAAAACCACAAGCCTCGGGGCAGCACATAGATTAATAGAAATGGGTTCATTTAAACTGTAAGAGCTAGCCTGAGCTATCAGTCAAGCACGTATAATTATCTGTGTGATTATTTGGGAGTGACTGCTAGGACACAGAAAAACTCCGCCTACACAGATACATACACAAATAATTTTTCTCTATTGAAATATCTTTTTCAATGAAGCAGCATGTACAGGGCCTACACAGGTCTGCACCAGGTCCTCTGAGTATGTACGATAGCTTTCAGTTTAGTACTTTTGTGAGATTCCTAAATATCTGAACGAGTGGGTCTCTGATTCTTGTGCGTGCTCTTGGGGCTCTTTTATTTTTCTGTTGGCTTGTCTTATTCAACTTTGATACGGGTTGTTATAATCCTTAGATGGAAAAAGATCAAAATGACCCCCACAAAACATAAACCCTTTAAAACTATAGAGAATACTCATGTTGCAGGCATGTTGTCACATAACATGTGTACACTGATTTTGATAATCATGGTCCTGAAGTGATGCAAGCATCTGTGAATTCTTAACATGTTTTACAAAAGATAAGATATATTCTGATTTATTAACAACATCCTATCAATCATACAGTCTAAAGAAAAAAATGAAAGAAAGCTTTAAAATACTGAAATAACCCTCATGTCATAAATGGTACAAATACAGATTAGCATCAAGATATTTTAACCTTGTATTTTATTATTGATAAGCTTTATTATTTACTTTGCTAACATCTAAAACTACTTCACAGTTTGTTCAGAACATAATGCCATCTCTTCCCTTTTTGCGTGAGGTCACATGTAAAGATCACACTAGAGGTTTAGTCTGTACTGATCAAATATATCAATGACCATTTACATCCAACTATTCTTTCCTCTCAAAACTAAGTGTTTTATATACAAAAGTGAGTATATGACAGCTAAATTGAACATCAGATGCACTCTTTCATGGGAATATTTTATTTACATTTTATATTTAAAGAGAATCGGTACAAATCGGAGCATATTTACAGCACTTTCAAATCAGTGTACAAGAATGCAATGGTTTCATCCATTATATAGTCAGCAAACAAAAATACATGTCTGTTCTACTTCTGTCTAAATTCTGCTGGAATTTGAACTCACTGGGCACAAAACTAATGGACAAGCCACACGACATAGAAATTAAGTGCATTTTTAAATAGCTCTATTTAACTTTGGTGGTTGAAGCTTCAAACTTTATATTAAGGCACCTGGAAATCCCCCCTTCCCTTGATTCTTTTTCAAACACCGACAAAATGCATTCACAAAATTATAGATATATGGACAGAATTTAAATTTAATATAATTAGAGCCCATTAGGCCAAATGTAAACTCAATTTTCAATGTCAACAGTGTTTGGAAAATACTTCCCACAGACAAATCTTACAGAATATTTTCTGTAGATGAATTCTGCAGAGTAACCTGTTACCAATTTTCTGTGATTTATTCTACTATTACTATTTTCAAATCTTAGAGTAGTTTCTGTTCTGTGCTTTTGAAAATTTCAAGTTTGAGAAAGAGTTTACAATAGTTTTGTAAGAAACTTTTTGTGTCTATAATCTTGTGTGGTGTCACTAATATACCGATCAACCAATTCAGTTCATATTTTCTGACAAACTATGCTCACACTCACATGAAATGCATACACAGCTTAATTAAAAAGAAAAGGTTAAAATAAGCATTTTGCTTTTAATCTTGTTCTATTAACTTAATGTATTTTAAATCGACATTTCATGAAGCACTAGCCTACGTTTGCATTGCTTTTTACAATTCCAGATCAATATAAGCACCTGGAGACAAACCCTGACACAAATAGCTCAAGCTAAAGTAGTAGCAGTGTTTCATTACGACACTATTACAAAAGAAAAGTGATTACAGCTACTCCACATATTGAAAGCAACATCTTTTTATAAGAAAGTTGTTTCACATGAAAAACCCGACTACTTGTAGACAGTTCTGAATGTTTAAAAATGTTGTTATCACTATCATCAAGAGGAAACTTGCCTATGAAAAACATTATAATGAGTTTGTGGAAAAGTTACTAGGTTAAATATGCTAAGCCATTTAACTATAGTATAATATTAGTCATCTCAGCACTTTCACCCTTCTTTATTACGTTTACCCAGTTCATTAATAGTAAACTAGGTCCTGATTGGCAGTCCTGTTTTTACTAACGGTTCAAGTTTCTATTGACACAGATTTTATGATTTAATTTCTCGAACAGCAGTCTCTTGATTGGGGCTTTCATCTTCTTCAAAGGTTGGGTTGTCAACGTGAGGAACAACATCCACGGCCACAGAACTTGCCTCATGGTTTACCAGCTGTAGATTTTCATCTGGAAACAGAGGGGAAAATGGAGGATGATTCCATTCGTCTCTCCTTTCAAGACAGAATTCTGCATCACTCCTAAGAGGGCTTCCTCATTCAAGGTCATTATACTCTGATGATTATACTGCTTCCTGTTCCTTAATACTATGTGGCTTTTTCCATATCCAGTGTGAGGTGCCCGCCTATATTCATAGCATTTAGGGCAATGAGGAACAAGCATTCTTGGGCTTTCAAGGCTAGCCTGCACTACACAGTAAACTTCAGGCTGGCCTAGGCTACAACATGAAATCCTGTCTCCCCCCACAAAAAAAATCATAACTTATATTGTTTCCCATAAGGCAACTATGGTCATATTGATTTATGGTTCCTATATTTGATTCATGTACGTGTGTTTACTTTATAATGAGGATTATAGTCTCATTAACGACAAAAGTTACGTATTTTTTTTTCTTTCCTAATAACAGTTCTTAAACCTGGCTGCACATTGCTACCACTTGTGCTATTTCACCTAGCTGTATAGTAAATAAAATATATAATCATCCTTAAAGAAAAAAAGGTGAGGATGAAAAAAACTCTAAATAACTTCAGGCCAGATAGCTAAAGAAGAAAAATGGGTTGTATAGTCGTTACTGAAAGTATTTTATCTTTATTCTAGAATTGAAAGGTGAAGTAAGCATATCTTAGATAAGGAAAGTCTTCTCCTTCCACTGTCACTAAAAGGAATTCCGGGTAAGGCTGGTAGGATGGTCTAGAAGGAGCCCCTGCTGCGGCACTGCAGTCACATACATCAGCAGCCAAAACGCAGTGTCTTCCAGATCAGAGGAAAAGGAGGAGAGAAAGGAAGAGAAGGGAAGCTTTGTGAGGAAACTTGTTCATTGTAATCTTGTTCTTTGAAAGAATGGATCAGAATAACCACCCAGTGGCTATGAGTTTGCCTAATTCCCAAATCTTGCTTTTGCTATATCAGTCTCCAAGAAGAGACCTCTTGAAGAAATGGCAGATTCTGAGACAGGGAGTGTACAAGATTAACCTGGATTCTAGCCTAGGTGTCAGCAAACTATAACTCACAGAGCCAAAGCCACATGAAGAGTGCTTTTCACATTTTAAAATGTTTTCAAGACAAACCAACCCTTCCCCCTGAAAGATACACAAAAAGAATATGCAACAGAAATATATGTGGTTTTCAAACCATAAATATTTACTACTTGGTCCCTTAAAGAAAAAAGAAGTCAACTTGAGACTGAAAGCAGACTATGGTACCAGAAATAAGGAAGTCAGAAGAATAAACCCAACTTAAATAAGTTTCTCAAGACAGAAATGAAGAATCTATGAGCCATGGAAAAATCATGAAACTAACAAAGAATGAAAGAAGTATCTGTGATGTCACTTATTACCAATAAATAAATAAAATAGAAAGGGAATGGCTCTTCCTTAAATTTGAAAATTAATATGTGTGGGAAGAATGATAGAAATAGAAAGTCACTATTTGGTGAATAGTTCAGTAATAAATTATAACAGGAAGTATCAATTATTGCTAAAGTTGGCCAGTAAAGGAGCCACGACAAAAGAGATATTTGCAAGGTTTCCAAGCATCTATCAGAAAGATATTTAATAATTACAAATGGAAAACAGTAACTTTAAAGGGAAGAATTTGGCAGCCAGAACCCTTAACCAAGTGAACAAAGTTAAAATCATTTGTAATGAGAACATCGTGTGCCTCATAATATGTGCTGCTGACAGGCGCACAGCATCGTTCTCTGGCATTCTTACCAGAAATGGACAGTGATTTAATTTTCATGAAGCAGCAGACAAGGCTAAATAAAGGAACATTTTATAAAGTAATCTTCAAAAATATCAACATCATAAAAGGCAAATACTAAGAAATTGTCATAGATTGAAGATCAAGGGGACTTACAAGTACAGGAAGCGTGGGATCTAGAGGCAGAGAAAAGGACATGCATGGGCCAGATGGGAAAGTTGAGGAAGGTCTGTAGTTACTATTTCATCAGGTCATTTTCTAGGCTCTATGTAAGTATATGGTTATATAAGATATCCATATTTGCAGAAACTCGAAAGGGGTAGATGAGCACTCTCGGTACTATTACTGAAACATTTTCAGTCCATCTAAAGCTATTTCAAAATTAAAACTAAAACTATATGTAATTGGACCCCATCCCTTATGAATTCTTATTAAATTACCCTAAAGTGCTCTTTATATGCCATATTTTTTTTAAAAAAATCTCTCCATGTAATTCTGATGTACAGCATGGTTGACAACCAGGGGCCTTAGTGGATATATTCCCTGTACCAGAAGTATCAGTATCACCAGAAAAATTGCTATAGATATATATTTTCAGGCCCCACTCCAAACCTACTGAGCCAACAAGCCCTCTAGGAAACTAGGTAGGTAGTTAACTTTGAAGACTAGTATTCTAACAGAACTGATCCCAATGATGTACTACATAGATGAAGTAATTATGCATTTGCAATTATAAAAATCAACTGCCACCACAACTGACTTTGAGATACCATCTCATACCAGTCAGAATGGTTAAGATCAAAGCATCAATGATAGCCTATGCTGAAGAGGATGTAGAGTAAGGGGAACACTTCTCCATTGCTGGTAGGAATGCAAACTTGTACAACCACTCTGGAAATCAGTATGGCAATTTCTCAGAAAATTGGAAATCAACCTACCGCAAGATCTAGCAATACCACTCTTGGGCATATACTCAAAGGATGCTCAACCACACTACAAGGACATTTGTTCAACTATGTTCATAGCAGCACTATTTGTAATAGCCAGAATCTGAAAACAACCTAGATGCCCCTCAACCGAAGAATGGATAAAGAAAATGTGGTACATTTGCACAATGGAGTGCTACTCAGAGGTAAAAAAAAAATGACATCTTGAAATTTGCATGCAAATGGATGAAACTAGAGAAAACCATCCTGAGTGGGGTAACCCAGATGCAGAAAGAGGAACATGGTATGTACCCATATAGTTGAATACTAGCTATAAAGTTAAAGGATAAGGAACCTATAGTCCACGATCCCAGAGAAGCTAAGTAACAAGGAGAACCCTAAGAAAAACATACATAAATCCCCTTGGGAAGGGGAAATAGACAAGATCTGCTGAGAATATTGGGAGCATGGGGGTGGGAGAGAAGGGAAGGCAGAAGGGGAGGAGGAGGGGAGGAAGAGAGGAGGGGAGGAGGGGAGAGGGGGAGAACTAGAGGGAATAGAATGGTCCAAATGGGGAAAGGACAGAGAACAAGGAAAGAGGTATCTTGATGGAGGGAGCCATTATGGGGCTAGCAAGAAACCTAGCACTAGAGAAATTTCCAGAAATCCACACGGATGACCCCAACTAAGTCACTAAGCAATAGTTGAGAGGGTGCCTGAACTGGCCTTGCCCTGTAGTTAGATTGATGACTATCTTAAATGTCATCATAGAACCTGCATCTAGCAACTGATGGAATCAGATGCAGAGATCCACAGTGGAGCACTGGGCTCAGTTCCCAAAGTCCAGTCGAAGAGTAGGAGAAGTGAGAATACAAGCAAAGAGGTCAAGACCATGATGGGGACACCCACTGAAACAGCTTATCTGAGCCTTCAGCTCAGAACAGCTAATGGGAGCCTTCCAACTCTGGCCTGACAGCAAGAGAACCAGCATAGGACCAAACTAGGCCCTCCGAATTTGGATGACAGTTGTATGGCTGGGGCAGACTGTGGGGCCAATGGCAGTGAGACTAGGATTTATCCCTACTGCTTGTTCTGGCTTTTCGGAACCCATTCCCTATGGAGGGATACCTTGTTTAGCCTAGATGTAGGGGTGAGGGCCTTGGTCCTGCCCCAAAGCAATGTGCTAGACTTTGTTGACTCTCCATGGAAAGCCTTACCCTCTCTGAGGAGTGGGTAGGGGTGGGTGTGGTGGGGGGGGGAATGTGGAGGGCGCAGGAGAAAGGAAGGAGTGGGAAGTAGATTTGGCATGTAAAATAAGAAAAGGTTTTTTAAAAAAAAAATTATAGGAAAAAAAAGATGGCCCATAAATGTGGATCCACTCCACCTTGACCAAAGGTCAGAGAATTCAAACCTGTTCCTGTTCCTTAACTTTAAAATAGGAAGTTTGACTTAGGGAGTGGCTGTTTATAGGATGCTTATTCTCGTCTTGCTTTACTCAGGAAACAATGGCTTGATGTCTCAAGTATTGAAGCAATAACTGTTCTGGTTATCCTCTGTGTCATGTTAAAGCAGTTTTTTAACTTCTCCCCCCACTTTGTATTGGGGGTATAAAAGTGTATGAAAAATAAATGTGAGTGGATTCAGTATTCAGTATTCACTGAGTTACTCTCGTGGTACTTAAAAGAAATCAACGGCCATTGTAATCAGTGACAAACATGCAAGATCCCCAAACCGGCAAGATGCAATCACAGACAAAATTGAATGTGATCTAAGGGATCATTTATTCAACACAAATTTCCATATCTTAGGTGGCAGCATGTGCTGAATGGAAAATAGGTTAACATAAGACACCTTCCTCACTAAGAGGAAATAAAGATTACATGGTACAATTTAGTTTACTAAATACATTCATGGGAATTTGTGGGTGTGGACATGAAAGTGAAATCAAGGCTTCTGAAAGAGTCTGTGAGGCATGTCTGCAGAGGGGGGAGCAGACATTAGACTGGGAAAGGAAGAACGGAAGTATGGCATAGAGAAGCAAGGAGCTCAAACTCTGTTTATGAAAGATGAGAAATTAAGGGGCAGACCTGAGAAAGTATATTGAATGAACAGGAAAGAGGGAATGAAGAATCTGGGGAACTAAGGATCTAGGGACGAATCCTTAAGGCCTCAAAGTGGGCGTCACTAGCATTCATCCAGGAAAGAATGCAGGAGGAATATGGACCATTATTTCATTTGCTAGTCAAATGATCTGTAAAGTCTCTCTACTTCCCCACCCTCCAAACCAACCCCCACAAGAACTGAACACAATCAAGTAGGGTGGAGTTTTGTATATAAAAAATCTAGCACAATTTAAATTATCCTTTATCTTCATCAAATTCTCTTACCACACCATTATGGGAATGCAAGATTATGACAAAAAAACAATGACTCAGTATTATTGCTAGAACAATCCACAGATAATTAACATTCCTATGAATGTACTCAAGGAAATGTCTGGAGATCAGATTGCAAGAAATACAAAGTTTGCTTTTACACGGTTGTGTGCCTCGTGACGTCTTCAGAAATGGTATTTATGGCACTGATAAACCTACAGAGGGCAAAGGTTTATGGCACAGAAGGTTGAAATGTTCACAAGCTATTGTGGCAATTAGTTTCTTCCACTTTTATACTAAAATCGGGTGTCTTCGAGGTAAGGACTGAGGGGAAACTTTCAAACTAAGAAAAACTTGGAAAAAGCTAGAGGTTGGAGAAAGGAAGACTAATTTATAGAGAGACTTGATATTTTTAGAGGAAAAAGTAACAAAATTACCCCAAATTTCTCCATTCATATAAAATTACTAAACTGTAATAATAATCCACATGAATTCCAAAATTAATTTTGCTCAATCTTACTTTCTAACAATTGATTCATGGCCTAGAAAAGTCAACAGGTGGCAGCACATACCATTGTAAAACCTAGTTTCCGATCTGCAGGATGGATTCCTGAGACTATAGCATAAATCTAACTGTTGTAAATCAAATTCCTCTATTATTCCATGAGTCAGTTTTCCTACATTCTGATTTATCTGTCAGAAACAATGGCTTCTAAAATTTAAGGTTTCTCCTTCGCCTCAGTAAGAAGTTAATGAGCCAACATTTAAATGGCTCAGAGAGCAGCTTTCCAACAAAACCTCTGCTTTTGTGAATAATCCTAATTCCTCCGGCATGCCGTCTATTTTAGGAATATTTGAATATGTATGTACTCTTGGAATATGCATATACTTTCTGGCAGGAGTACATCTCTCATTGCATCATTTTAAATAGAAAAAGAAGTTGAAATGGCATAATGGATGAATGGAACCACCACTAAAAAGCCAGATTACGTGGCTAGATGTGTGACCCACAGTGGACTTGAGATGAGCTCACTGCTCTGCTGTACGGTGCTTACTTGCTGACTGCACGTGCTCCTCCAGAGGCGGCTCATCTGCTCCCTGCACTGAAGCATAGCCAGATGATGCGGTCTCGCTGCGATTGTCCTCTTCGTGGGGAGAAGCAGTATTAGATGCATCATTGGAAACAGGAACTTGTAAAGACACTGATCCATCTTCAACATCCACCTGTGGTAAGCATTCAAACAAAAGACTTTCAGAGTACATGCATTACACTGACATATGGTTATGATGTTTTTCAGTGGTGATAACTGAAAATAACAGAGTAATATTTCTTAACCTTATAAACCTCTACCCCATTTTCATGTCACAAAAATCTCTTACTGGCCCCAGTCACGGTAGTGGGAGTAGTAATTGGCTATACCAATGGAGTACATATGTCTTCATCTGGCTGATCTCTTCACCTCAGACATAATGGTGGGAACAAGGTATATTCAGTATACATTAATATATATTATTCTGTCCCAAAAGAGAACTGAAAATTGCTCTCATCTCATATTTCTGTTCCGTTTAAAAGATTTCATCGAGTTGACATTTATCTTGAAGATACTTTTTTTTCTTTTACCAAGTACAAAATTAAAATTTTATTCTGCGTTCTCAAACGGTCATGGTTACTTAATGACAAATTTGTAACTTTGCAATAAGTGACAGGGTTAAAACAGAAAAGTAGGTAAGTTGGTAGTTTAAAGTTCTAATTCTGATCCAAATACTAAGTAATTTGCAAAGAGAGAAGAAGGAAAATGGATATGTCCACGATCGTATGACCCTCTCTGTGTCTATGAAAGAAATAGGTCTAGTTTTTGGTATCAACTAAATGATTTGCACATTACCTACCCAGAGAGAGAAGGATGCTATTGTCATAAATGCCCGGGAATATAAATACCACACTGCTGAAGTTCCTTCATAGAAAGAATATAGCAACGTTTACCTCAATTCCCAGAGCTTTGAGAATGTCACACTTGCACATGGGGCAAGTCCTGTGTTCTAAAAGCCATGGGTCCACACATGTCTTATGGAAAATATGACTAATGAAGGAGAAAAGAGATAATGTAGTTACAAGATGTGAAACAGAAACAACACTTTGCGCCTCCCCGCCCCCCATCACCACGGACACATGCAAACACGCACACACACAGAGCTGACTTTTAGCCTTTGCAAGGATATCTTTTCTCCTTTTAAACATACCATTAATAAAGAGGCCACAAGGATAGATTCTGGAGATTTCATAATGCAGAGCTCTTAGATACAGAGGCCCCATTACTCTAGCCTCAAAAAGTTATTTTTAGCATTCATAACTTGAAAATGGCTAATGCTACTTGACTTATGTCTCTTGGCATTTCACATGTTACAATATTAAAATTATCAGTTCCATAACTCTAAAATGGAATTATCATTCTCGGTAACAGAATGATAAAGTACTGAGTACGACACGGTACCGATGCTCCAGGCAATGAAAGGAGCTCTGAGAACAGCGCTATTTAACAGCTGAGAAGACAAGCTAAGACTAACCTTCTGGAGAGGAATTGTGTCTTAAAATCTAAAGAGTAAAGACTTCAAAGTAGGCCACTAAGTTGAGCTTATGTTTTCTCAATAGAAATGTTAAAATGAGTTTAAAATAAATAAGCAAGTACTAAACACACAACACACAACACACACACACACACACACACTGATGACTAGGTTTCTCAGTTTCCTGCAGGAAAAACAAACTGTTGAGAACAAATTGTACTGGACTTTGGAAACTATAATTCAATTTTAGTGCTATATCAATTTGGAAGCATTCAAAACAGTTTTTCTTCATCATGCCAATTTTAAGGATGTTATTTTTATGGATATGAAAGAAGATGAAACTTACTTGCAGGTTAGGATGCGCACCAAATCATTTGGTTTATAGAGCTCAATACACACAGCACAGCTATCTCCATCAGGGCCAATTTCCTATGAACAAATAGTTACTGTTACTCAAACAAGAAAAAGCAAATTAAACCTCAGAGCTGGACCAGCATTTGCACATGCAGTTAACACCTAGAAATTTTTATACAAAGAGAAACATTACTGAGGATGCAGCTATGAAGTTGCAGTGGGTGATTTCAATTCATTGACCTTTGGAAGAGGCAAAATAACAAAGTCTACAAAATGAAGAAAGAACAAATTAAATCATGTAGTACTGACATCAACTCTTTTTCCTGTCTTGAGAATTTATAGAAAGCCATCTGTATATTTTCATAGCTATGTTTTCTCTAAAAAAGTAAGGTATAATTTACATATAGCAAACCTCAGTCATTTTTACAGTCTTGCATGTTCTTAAAAACATGTAGTAATCTAATGCCCACAATAATCAAGATATAGAATAGTGACATGACCCCCAATCCATATTCCCTTAGTAACTAAGCCTTCCTCTCTCTCATTCCCAACCTCTGTCTACCACTGTTATGTTTTCAATCCCTATACCTTAGGCTTTAAAAACTAATGCCTAATAAATGGAATTATGTACCATCTAACTTCTGAGTCTTGCTTCCTTCATAATTATAAAGTCTTTGGTAGTCACATATGTATGTTATTGTAGGTAGCAGAAGGACTTGCTAACACTTTTATTACTAAATTGTATTCCATGGCATGAATATTCCACAGGTTATCTATTTATCAGGTGATGGGAATTCAGATTCTTTCCAGTTTGGAAAGAATTACTAATAACTACGTTTAGGAATTTAATGGGGATATAGGAGTTTCCTTTCTTTACAGTGAATATCTAGTATGGTAAATGCATTTTTAACATCATAAGGGATTGTTACTCTGTTTTGCAGGGTAGACATAATCATTTAGTATTGGCACCAGAAGATATGTAAGAATTCAAGAGGTTGTACATATTCATCAGGTCTTAGCCACCCTAATGAATGTGTACTGGTAACACATTTGGTTCTAATTTTGTATTTTCCAAATGACTAGTGACATCGAGTATTCTTTTGTATACTTCTCAGCCATATGTTCATTTGATTAATGTATGTATATTTAGCATACTTACTATATTAATTTTCAAAATATTTTTATTGTTGTGAGCCACCAAATGGGAGCTGGGAATTGAACCCAGGACTTGTATAAGAGCAGCAAATATTCCTAAACTCTGAACCATCTCTTCAGCCCATATTTATTCAAAATAATTAGCACATAGAGTATTAAGTTTCATTATAGTACTTTTATTTTTATTTCATTTGTTATTTTGTGTGTATAAGTGCCTGAATGCATGCCTGTACACCACATGCATGCAGTGCCTTCACAGGCCAGAAGAGGGCATTGACTCTCCTGGGACTGGAGTTTCAGATGATTGTCAGTCACCATGTGCTTACTGGAATTTGAACCTGGGTCCTCTGCTCTTAGCCACTGACTCATCTCTCCAGCCTCCACACCGTGGAATTTTCAGTTTATTGTGTTGTTGCTGATTCTCCCCCCTCATATTCTCCAACTTCTCCTGCCCCTTCTTGTACTGTTATACCCCTCTCCCATAACCTCCTTTCTGCTTCCCTATCACAGGTTTGTGTCTTTATTTTTATTTTGCTGCTCCTGTTGTCGAGACAAGAGTTTTTTTTTTAATATTCTAAGTGCAGTCATTTAATAAATATGCAATTTGCAAATATTTTTTTCTAAGACTGTACCTTGTGTTTCCCTTTCTTAAAAAATGTCTTTCAAATTATTTTTCAAATAAAAAAATATTTGTTTATTTAGTTGATACAGGGTCTCATTATGTCTGGGAATTTGCTATGTAGACCAGGTTGGTCTCACTCTCAAAGACACCTATGCCTCCAAATTTTGGGGTTAAAAGATGTGTTCCACCATGGCTAGCAACAATAGAAATCTTTTCACTTTCATTTTATTTTACTTTACTTTATGTGTATGTAAGTTTTACCTTCTTTTAGGTCTGTGTACCATGTGTATGTCTGATGCCTGCAGAAGCCAGAAGAGGGCATCAGATCCCCTGGAACTGGAGTTACAGATGGTTGTGGGCCACCTTGTAAGTGTCAGGAATTGAACCTTCTATGAGTCATCTTGCCAGACCCCCTTCTTAAAACAGAAATTCTTAAACTCTGACAGTCAAATTCTATGTTTGCTCTGTGGACTTGTGTTTTGGTGTTATGCATAAAAGCTATTAATGTATCCCACCCACATCTCAATTATTTTTCTCCCAAAGACTTCTAAAGAATCAATAGTTGCTTGGTGGTGGTGGTAGCACACGTCTTTAATCCCAGCACTCACAGAGGCAGGCGAATCTCTGTGAGTTTGAGGCCAGCCTGGTCTACAGAGCGAGTTCCAGGACAGGCTCCAAAACCACAAAGAAACCCCCTCTCCAAAAGTCAAAAAAAATCAATAGTTATAGACTGTATATTTATACCTATACTCTTTTGAGATAATTTTTACACTGTATAGATAATGGAGGTATTTTAAAAATGAATACTATGCTGGCTAGTTTTTTTTTTAATTTTTATTTATTTTACATATCACCAGTTTCCCCTCCCTCCCCTACTCCTGCTTCTACGCCACCTGCCCCCTCTATCCACTCCTCCAAAAGGGTAAGGCCTCCCATGGGGAGTCAACAAAGTCTGGTACATTAAGTTGAGGCAGGACCAAGTCCCTCCCAACTGCATCAAGGCTGAGCAAGGCATCCCACCATAGGGAATGGGCTCCAAAACTGGTAACACAAGTGGTTCTGATTTTGTATTTCTCTAATGACCAGTGACATTGAGTATTCTTTTGTATACTTCTCAGCCCTATGTTTGTTTTATATCAACTTGACATAAGTGTCATTTTGGAAGAAGGAATCTCAATTGAGAAAATACTTCCACCAGATTGGCCTGTGGGGCACCTTCTTGATTGATGGGTGATATAGGAGGGCACAGCTCACTGCAGGTAGTGCCACCCTGGGCTGGTGTTCCTGGGTGTTAAAGAAAGCATGTTGAGCAAACCATGAGGGACTGAACCTGAAAGAAGCACTCCTCCATGACCTCGGCATCAGTTATTGCCTCCAGGTTCTTGCGCTGTTTGAGTTCCTGCCTTGACTTCCCTCAGTGATAGACTGTGATATAGAACTGTAAACCTAAATAAACCCTGTCCTCCACAGGTTGCTTCTGATCATGGTGTTTTAAGCACAGCAATAGAAACCTTAACTAAGTCATATACTCAATTACTACTGAGAATTCTCCTTGCTTTATTGCCTTTGGATCTTCAAAATAAATAAATAAATAAATCGGCCACATGTCTGTTGGTGCATTTCTGGATTCTATACTGTTTCATTCATTTATGGATCTAACATTTCTATACTCCCACAGATACAGCCTTGAAATAACCCTGAAAATTGGGGGGATGTGAACTACTATTTGAAGTTTTTTTTTTATCCTCCCTATATTAAGACAGGGTCTTTCTATGTAGCCCAGGCTGAACTTGAACTTACAGCCCTTTTATCTCAGTTTTCTGGATGCTGGAATTGAAGGCATGTATAACACTCTCAGAACATGGTCTAGGAATGAAGTCATGTGAGAATTCTGAGTGCTTGCGAGAAAACTCCAAGAAAACAAGAGTCTTGTGACCTTAGTTTCTTCAGAACACTGAATTGTTCCTGGAATGTGTCTACAGGCTCCTCCCAGGTGTAGTGGGCAGGAATGGGTTTACTTCAGCTTGCTCGCTGATCTCATTCAATTCATGTTTATATGCCTCTATGGAAAAATATGCTTTTGCTACATGTGGCTTCTTATTGCAATTGTATACAGCTTGAACTCATGGGAACTTTATTCATCTGACAGTTCTCGCAGGTCCCATTGTCTTTAGAGTGGTAACGTAGCACATTCAGCTTGTACATTCTTATGCATCCAAATTGTTTGGATTATCCTGGTTCTTGGGCTTTTCTAATACGTAATGCTATCTCATGAAGATTCTTGTTGAGGAGCTAATTCATAGGTTAGTTTAAGATGAACTGACACCTTAACAATGAAGTTTCCAATCCACAAACATGACATATATCTCCATTTCTTTCTATTTTCTTTTATATTTTCTCCATATTTGTGATTGAACTCAAAAGCCTCGAGGATGCTAGGTAAGTGCTCCACCACTGAGCTATAATTGCCAGACCCTGTGACTTCTTTCACTGGTTCTGTACAACTTTTACCATATAAATCTTGCTCACATTTTGAATATTTATATTTAAGAACGTAATGCTTCTGATGGTGTTATAAGTGATAAATCTTTATTTCAGTATGTCCTGCAGGTTTTTTGGGATGTTTTTTGCCATCAATAGATTTTCAACTGTCCTAAATCTCAAATGGACATTCGAAATTGTACTGAAGCATGATTTTAGTTTTCTATCATTGCTGTTGCAAATTACCATCCTTTGATGGCTTACATTGGCATGGCTCCTTACTTTTTGTGGAGATCCGAAGTAACTGAGGTGTTGGCCGTTCTACATTCCTTCTGGAGGCTTCAGGGAAAATACCTGTCATTGCCTTTTCTAGTTTCTGGAGCATTCCTGCATTCCATCTCATGGCCTCTTCCTTGAATCATTCCACATTTTTTATCCCATTGCAACCCTGCTATGAATGGCAGTCACACCTGCACCTTTACTCCAGCTTATCTGGATTCTGGTTGTATTTAGGGTTTGTCTAAATAATCCTGGATGATCTCCCTCTTTAACTTGCCACATCTATAATTTCTTTCTGCCAGATATTGTAACATTTACAGGTGCCAGCGATTAGTACCCAGGAACAGTTGGGAGCCATTGTATAGTCTAATTGCAATACTGAATAGAATTTCAATACTCAGTGAGGTATATCAATGCTAACAAAAAGACAGTTGGAGAGGGCATTTAAAGAATGTCCTGGTAGCTTTGCTTTAAAAGTAATAAAAGTACCTTGTCTCCTTGTTTCAAAGTGCGCAGCTGAAGCCTTCCAATAGCTTTTTTAGCATCTGCCTTTAACTGTCTCTGTAATAAAAACAGATATTAGAAGACATGTTTTTAAAAGAAGTATGATAAGAAGGTATAGCAATTTAATAGTAATTGATAAAAGTTACTATCCAAATAAAAATTAGAGATTAAAATCTGCGGCTGGGGAGATGGCTCAGTTGGTAAAGTCCTTGTTATGCAAGCATAAAGCTCTAAGTTTGATGCCCAATACCCACAGAAAAGCTAGGCACCATAGTTGCTGACCTTCCCTGTCACCTGGGTACCCTGTCACTTAAAGCCCCACCCCCACCCCAGAGGCAAGCTGATCTCCTGCCTCCCCCCCCCCACTAGCCTCTTCTGATGAGGTAACTACTGACTCTCTCCCTTTCCTCTTACCCCCTTCTTTCTTCTCTCTCCCCTCTCTTTCCTCGCTCTCTGTCCCCTCCCTTCTCCCTCTCTCTCTCCCGTTCTCCCCTCCCCTCTATAACCCATCACTCCTATATCATTCCCAATACCCACTAAATAAATTCTAGACCCAAGCTCTGTCCACGTGGCATATCTGTCAGTCTCCCACCTGAG